TTCTAAGTGAACGTGCACTTTGCGATTGGTCAGAATGCATTCCTGTGCCGTTGCTTCATCTCGTGAGTGAGTCATGCTCCAACCCACTCCGGTACTGCTTTTTAAAGAGCCACAGAATGACACCATTCCTGTGGAGGAGAGGGAGTTTAAGTAGTTGTAGGGATCAGAAGTCTAAACAAACACAAGGAGGCTAACCACAATGGGCTTCAACCAGTCATTATCCAAGCCCAGCAGATATATTGACACCACCAACTGCATAACTTTTTAACTGCAGCCTGAACCAGGTCGTAAGCTCAAACGAATGGAAAACGGCGGAGGTTATTCCCGTATCCAAACCTGGACGACGGGAGTCGCCCGGGAATTACCGGCCGGTGAGTCTTCAATGCATCTTACTGAAAGTGATGGAGAAATGCTCAATGAACGTCATGGCCAGCCATCTATTCCAGCACCAACTGGTGGCACTGCATCAGCACGGGTTCGTCAACAGCAATTCTGACGAACTTGCTGTTCTTCATTGACAAAGCATCTGTCATACTAGACTGAGGTGACTCTGTTGAAGGCTGCTATAAAGACTTTCAGAAGGTATTCAACTCGCTCAACCACCGGCTGCCCTTACTCAAGCTTAGGAATCCGCAAAAGGCTCCCATGGTTGTAGAGTAGATAGAGGAATACCTAAGTGGTTGAAACTTCTACATTAAAGTAGAGGAGTCCAGGTCTACCTCCGCCAATGCCGGCAATGGGCTATCACAAAGATCGGTACTTGCGCCTTTGATGTTCACACTCTTTATCAACGTACTAATTCAAAGGCTACAGTCTCCGTGCTTTCTGTATGCGACCGATGCCAAAATTGCAGGTAGGCCAACTAGGGATGTCATACAGCAATACTTAAACACGCTCTATAGCCGGTCCATGGCTTGGGCCCTACCGCTAAACGTCGACAAGTGCAGATATTTTATGTCTGACGGTGTTTCTGCGAAAACTTAACGTAACCCAGATAACTTCCATTTAATTCAGAGTACAGATACTTGGAGGAACCCACGAGTGCTTATGCACTAGTCTTTTAAGCCGTCGCCACAATTGCTGACGCTAATGGGAAGGATCAAAGGGCACTGTTCCAGTTGCGACGAACTGTGGCATCCAGGGACCCGGTTGTCCTGTCTCCTCTGTACAAGGCGTTTGTCTGTTCCCACTTAGAAAATGGAGTGCGGGCATGAGCAACAACTAAAATTGGAGGGGAAAACGCCATTGGAAAGATACAGAGGAGATTCACCGAATTTTTCTCATGTTTCCAAGGGTTGACGTAATTCATAAGCTGCAGAGATTGAAACTTTTCTCCATCAAAAAGAGAAGCTTTGGGAATCTCATTGAGATCTTTAAGATCCTGAAAGGAGTCATCAGTACTGGACTCCCTTTATTCAGCATGGATAACCTTAGAGGTAGCGGACTGAAATTGAGCAAACCCAGAGCTATGAGGAGCATAAGAGCGAACGTCTTCTCCACATGGTGGTAAACGCATGGAACAGAATGTCAGCGAAGGTAGCTTCAGTCCAGACTGTAGTGCAGTTCAAGGTCAGACTGGGCAATAGTTGGTCTGCTCTATTCCTTGACCTTATCTAATTTCTGAGACCTTGCTTATTCGTTCCAACCTTCTCCTAAGCACCTTCACCCATTCTCACTGGAGGCTACAAACATTCCTTTTTTATCGCAACACAACTTCGTTTATGTCCTTCGGCTTCCTTCCGTATTTTTCACTTTGTTCTCAGTCAATATAAGGTCAATATAATGTGCTTGCTTAGGTATGCTTAACATTGCTGGATGTAGGTGAATGAAAGGTTCTTATTCGTGAATCGGTAGATTATTCCAGAATTGATCCTAAAATTCTACTCCGCAATCCATGGACCTGACAAATAAACCTAAGTGAAATAAAATAAAGGAATAACGGAGTATTGAAGCAAGAGGGTACATTAGAGCCCACGCACAGAATTAACTGGAGTCTCCTTGCCTTCAGCCACGAGTCCTGGAAGCTGATTTGATCTCATCTGAATTTGTTGGTTAGCAAAGAACTAATATAGACTGGAGATCCGCGTTCGCTTCTTTACTAACCGAGTGGTAAATCAATGTAACAAACTATCTGATTAAGTAGTTACAACGGCTAGCGTCACAATCTTCAAACGTGTGCTCGACATTTGCTGATCGGCAGTTTCCTGAAACACCACGAGGAAGCAGGTTAGGTAGATACGTGGTTCTGGGGGTGATATTGATAATCAATTGAAGGATCTTGATGACTGTGGTTAACGTTTGACGGTGGAGGCATGCATGCCGGCTCATGTGCATAAAAGGCTTACGGGAAACTGTTCAGAAGTACCTGGGTGGTCTGAGTAGGACAAATACTGAGGACCAGTTATTTAAACAGATGGCTGGAAATCTGGTATTATCGCTGCACAAAGCACAGGAGAGGAGTTTTGCGTGTTATTGCTATTTCCACCATCATCCCATATCTCTCGACCTTCCACCCTGGACCCAACTAGCGGTCTTATCTCGTTCCTGTTTCCCTCCGAGACCCCCACATTTTTACTAACCAAACTTATCACACGGGACGAGCTGAAGGAAGCCAACACACCCCCGAAGGAGAATGTAAGGTGGCGACGTCTTTTACGGTTGGTACAGTAAGATGTAACACCCTACATTGTGGCCCTCGGCAGCCAAACAGCCCTGCAAACAGGCAATGAACCACAAATATGGGTGAAAAACAATAAACGCGCCATGCTACCCCTAAATGCCATGTATATACGTTTATATCGTTGAACACCAGTTCAACCTTGAGCGCAATACCAAAAGGGAGGTTTTCCGTCCAAGCTAAAGATAGCGCGACTGATGATGAAGTATGCATGACCCCCTCCCTCAGTTGTCATGCGATAACGGTCTCACAACTACTCCTCGACTAGCCGCCATCTGATTTAGCCTAATATAATCAGAATTCCACTGCACGGTATGTGAGAACGTGAATCCGAAGAAAATGTATAGGGGTAGTACATACTGCATAGGACGGTACCATAAAAGACCGTAGAAGCGGGACCAGCGATCGTCCGGCATCTGATGCCACAAGGTGGAGACACTCGTCTCCATAGTCCTTCCACTTGGACCGGTGTGTAGGTTTACCAATATAAACCAATGTATGGACTCAAGCATGTGCGTCTGAGAATGCGTGGAGATGAGTGGGTGTATGATTCATGGTACTCTTGTACAGGTATGGTGTATGCATGCATTGGAGTATAACCTAATGATCGGTATCAGCCTTTATTGACATACATGCGTGGGTATAAAAAAGATAATTGAACCCGCGTACCACACGCATGGGCCCAGCGCTAACCATCCCGCTGCATGAAGCTTTGCCAAAGATCCGTACATTTATAAGATGGAACATCAAATAAAAACGCCTCAGTAGTAGGTGGTAATTATGACGCTCCATGGAACCTGAAATCTATAAATTACTGGCAGCGCTCATAGAATCAAAGCATTAAGGATCAGGACGGTTATCAACTGCATTGAGGCGTTCTCTCTATTCCTTCCCTTCACAGCTAGATTCGCTCTAGACTGTTTACTGTCTTCGATCCATACCAGTCTTTTTCAGACATGCCTACCTAGCCTTTACTTCATCTGATGAAAAGGAAATCTCCTACAGAACTAGAAATTCAAAAGATATCAAGGTGCATTGAGAACT